ACGAATTCGAACTGTCAAGTCAGAGGTGAGAGATGGCGTACCGTTGTCTGCACAAGAGAGGCCAACATTCAAATGTCCATCCAGGTCAGCATTTTTTTCAAAATCGAATGCTCTGCTGTTAAACAGGCCGTAGAGTAGAGAACTGTATTTTTGAAGAGCAAAATCATTACGGTTCTCACTAAGATAACATGATATGCCTTCTTCAGAGTTAGAATCGGGATCGCTCACAGAAATGAGCTTGAGGAGTCTAACTTCGCTGTCATTTTCCTCAATATCGAATTGCCTCCTATCATCGCCCGTTTCCCCTGTAGACTTCACCTCAATTGAAGGAGGGTTATCGTTCAAATCAGTGATAAGAATGGTGAATGTTGATGTTGCAGTTAACGGAGGATTACCACCATCCTTAGCAAGCAGAGAGAGGACAAATTTTCTGTCTTCCTTATTTTCATAGTCTAGAACGCCGGCAACGGAGAGATCACCAGTTACGGGATCCAAAACCCACTTGTTGGCAAGAGCAGAAGTTCTAGGTATACTAGCGCCATAGTTAATCGAAAATGTTAACTTCCCATTGTCTCCCACGTCTTGGTCTGTCGCTCTAAAAGTATAGACCACTTTACCAATTGGAATATTCTCTGGCAATTCAATAGTATGCCCAGATGTAGATGGTGGCTGTTGGAAAATGGGGGCGTGGTCGTTGACGTCATCCACTAGAATTTGAAGCAGCAGGTTACCGGAGAGAGGTGGAGATCCACTTCCCAGTGCTGTCAACAAAAACCAGTAGTTGTCTTGCTCTTCGCGATCAAGATTTCGACCAGCAATCAATGTCAGAGTTTCAGCCCCATGGCGTGATCTTTCATGGACCAGTCGAAATGGACTGACCAAGGATGTGGTGTTCACATGGAGCGGCTGCAACTCATATGAGTTAATCCCAAAATCAGTCGAGTCAGGATCACTAGCTAGTGGAAGGGACAGTTTAGAGTTTATTCCAACTGATTCAGGTACCGATAACTGTATGTATGGAAGTGTTCGATACAGGTCAGGTATCCAGCTTGGCAGTTTCACCAAGTTCTCTCGCGGCACATCAAACTTAGGCGGATTGTCATTTTCATCTGTGAGTGTAATGGTCACATTAAAAACGAGTGGATGCGGCCGAGTGGTAAAGAAGTAGGCCTCCGCATGCATGTAGCAGATTGGACGATCGCAGCAGTCCAATTTATTGCAAATCACATCACGATCGATGGCGTGGGTTGTTATAATGTCACCGTTGGTCGTTAACCCAAAATGGTCATCAGGTTTTATCATGGCAGAATGGAAACCCTGATCATATGGCAAACTGTTAGGGCGGCCGGTAAACAAATTCCCCACCCTATATCCACCCTCTGTGTTGTCACCGAGAGAGAACTGTGCATTGAATCGTCGCTGGCATCGAGTCGATCGGAGGAGGAGAATGATTAGGAGACATATAATGGCTCGATGCACTGCTGTCATACTGGCGACAAACCTTCTCCAAGCTTTTTGGGTCGAATGAGGTACCCCATAAAACACAAAAACCGCGTAACACACCCTAGTTGATGTGTCCTCACAGCCAAGAGATGATTCGCTACTTTCAATCCTCACTTTCTATTGGTTAATCACTGGACCAATCATCTGAGGCGCAGCTGTCAGTGACACATGGTTTGCTTTTCTGTCCGTGAATACTACATAATTAATGCCGGGAATCGCATCATTTCGATGGAGAAGAATATCCTGCAGGGTCAAAGTACTTCGATCTTGTCAATGTGAACAAACGAATTTTTCAACCCCATTTTTGGCCTGATATAAACGCGGTTTAAAAAATATAGCTTGCGGTTCGTGCAATTGATATGCCAGATAAATTGCTTGTTCGAATTTGGAATGGCATTTTTTCATCATGCATCTTAAGGTCAAGTCTATGGCAAAGGTTTGCAATTAACAGTTTTAATAACGCATTTCACACCAAAAGTGTGATAGCCTGAAAAGTACGTTTATGTAGTCATAAGGTGTACAATTTTTGAGATTGCGTTTATTTATGTACACCTAAATGACTGATAAAAGGGCACATGGAGGGAAAGGGTACTTCG